AATGAATATAGTACTCTGTGTGGATCTTTCTTACTTTTTAACATGTGGATGAGGGGCTACTTTTTAGAAAATCAGTCAAAGACGTTTGCAAGAGTATGTCGGTGAGAAGATAGCCTAGCCAGTTTACTCCAAGCCCTAGAGGTCCATAGAGTTGTAACAAGGTTACTATTACTGTGAAAGTATGCCTAGAAGAAGATGATCAGAGATCAAATCCGGATAAGTTTCCGTATTACACGATTTGGTGACAGGGGTAGACAGTCCAGGAACTTACTGTTACAGAAATTTTTGAATTGTGAGCATTATATTGCGCCGAGGTCGAAGTCCTAAGGTACATCATCGCCGAAATCCTACACTCGTTGTAGCATTCATGGCTCAGTGGCAAGTAGCTTGACCAGCAAGCGATTGGTCGTGGGATCGAGTCTGCTGGCGGGTCAATTTTTCTTCACGAACAGCCTTCAGTAGAGATGAAAAAATCCCAGCAACAGGCCACCCAGGAACTTAGAGGAATTCCGATAATTTGAAGACATTATATTGCAAAGAGTTCCAAATCCTAAGGTATACCAATATCCTAGTCATCGACAGAACAGTGTGTTCGGATGGTCTAGCGGCTAAGCTGTTGGACCGCCGAGCCCGGTAGTCCAGGGTTCACACCCTGCGACGGCCGTTGATTTGTGGAAGCCCTGCCGAAAGGTAGAGCAGTCGGAGGACTACTGAGCGATGTGCTAGTACTCAGCTTCCTTGAGCTAACTATTCGCTGCAGATGCAGAGCTTGGGCTCAAATTTATGTGACTATGGGAGGAGTTTATTGATGCAATGCGTATTTTTCTCCCATTTATTCGATTTCGACCTACCTGCAAAAGGTACGGAACAACAAAATGTAGCCTTCAGTCGGTAGGTAAGCCGAGCGAAGGGAGGCGACATGGGTAGCGAACGGAAAGGGCCACCCGGGCCCAGTGAAGCACAGTGGAAGCAAAGGGGCAACCCAGGGCCGGAAGGGAACAGCAGAAGGGAAGAGGGGCAGGAGAGAAGAGAATGAACCGAAAAAGAGAAAAGGTCCTGGGACAAAGGCATACTCAGACACCACAATACCACGACAAAAAGTTGCAAAACTCCTCCCCTACTCCACAATGAACTCGGGGAAGTTGGCCGGTGTTCTCCAACACCCCCCACTCCCTGAAACAACAGAAATTATAAAGAAGACGCAACTAACTCGACCCACGAAGTCCACTGCACCAGAGGGATCCGAACCCGGAATCATCATCCCATCAGTCCAACGCCCTAACCACTTAGCCATCTGCGCTGTTACTCTCAAACCAAATTTGTTTTATAGGTAGTTATGGTTTCGTCAAACTCAACAAAGCCTTCGAGAGCCTGTTGTTCAAAACATGTGGTACGGAACGGAGGCAGCCGGACTCGAACTCACTACACCAGGGTGAATAAGCAAACGTGTTACCCACTGAGCCATCCCAACATGAGATAATTTACCCTTCTTTACCCCTGTGATGGTTGATCTTGCTAGGACATTTACAAGAACAAGAACAGAGTACGAAAGAAATCAAAACAGCGGCGCAACGGGTATTCGAACCACGGATGCATGATTGCTAGTCCAGCACATTACCACTCAGCCACCGACTTACGTCAATTCTGCGACGATGTGAATAGACTTGTAATTACTGGAAAACTAAAAGTGGCACTTCAAGTTGAATAGTTGTAGCTATTTTTAAGCATACAATAAACAACACCAGGTTTATAAAACACTGTAGAAATTTAAATTTTAAAAGAACTTTATTCTTTTCAAATCTTTCAATACACAGAAATTTCAACCATATATTTCTGCTGCTTTTCCGCGGACTAGCAGGATGTGGGCGCGGTCAGGAAGCTGTACGTGTCCAAACTAGTAAAGATCAAGCTGGTTCTAGCTGATTTAACCAGTTTGGACACGTGCTGGTGTCTAGCACCTCCCACCCCATTGGTCTTAGACCGCGAAAAAGAGTGTACATATAGATTTGAGCGCAATACCACTAGCACTGGAAGGGA